CGGCCTCGCCGCCACCGCCACTGCCACCGCGTGGGCCGGGGGCGCGTGCGGGGGGCGTGGCCGCGATCCCCAAGAGGGTGACGCGGAGGAGGCATGGCGGGGCGGGGCCGGGCGGGGCGGGGCCGGGTCCCTGGGCTGGGCTGATCCCGCCGAGCGCCCGCGCACTTGGCTCCCGCGCCGGCTCTTGCGCTGCGGGACGGGACGGGCCCTCTGCGCGCGGGAGCGGGACCTCGCGGGCAATGGAGCACGCGGCGGCTCCGGACCGCCTGTGAGCGGCGCCGAGGGGCGGCGCGCGATGCCTTCCCCGGCGGGGCGCGCGGGGGCCCTGGCCTGGCTGCTGCCCCTGGTCCTCGCCGCTCCCACCGCCGCCTGGCCGTCGGACCCCCTCCCGCTGCAGCCCAGCATGTGAGTCGGGGACCGGGCCGCGCCAGCTTTGTCCCAGAGCCAGAACAACGCGCTCCTCGCCGGGGCGGGGGGGGGGGGATCGGGATCCGGGTCTCTCCCGCTACGCTGTAGACCCCAGATCTGGAGCGAGGACCCCGCCCGTGCAGCGGATGTGGCCCGCGCCCCCGGGGTATCCCCAGGTCGGGCCACAGAGCGGGTGAGAGCGCGTGCGCGCGTGTGTTTTGTGTGTGTGTGTGTGTAGTGTGTGAGCGCGCGCGCATGTGAGCGTGTGTAGTGTGAGTGTGTGTAGTGTGTGAGCGCGCGCGTGTGTGAGCGTGTGTAGTGCGTGTGTGTGTTTGACTGTGTGAGTACGCGTGCCGTGCAGCCGCCGACCTCTTCATGTGTTCAGCACGTGCGCGCCGGGGCTGCTGGAGGAGGAATTCGGTACCAGGAGCGGTAGGAAGAGAGGGTCAGCGAGCTGCGAGATGAATTTAATTTTGAAAGCTGATTCCCCAGCGGGCCGATTAGCGGTTTCTCTCAAACAGCAAAGCGATCTGGTCGGCCTCACAGGAAAGCTGTCGGGGGAAGAGGGGGAGGGGAGGGGCCCTGCACCCCCACCCCAGCGCCCCCCCAGGCGGCTGCAGCCGTCTGCCGAGGGATGGGTGAGGGCGGGTGGGCCTCCTGTCTGACCCCCGGCTGCCCCTTGGCGGGGGCCAGGCTCAGGGGACCCAGCGCAGCCTGGCTATGGAGGGCTGAGCTCCCTGGGACCATCAGCCCAGGGCTCTCACTGAGGAGGTGGCCATCTCGCTCTGATCCAAGAAGGAGGCTTTCCCTGTGGTCTCTGGCTTGGCGTCTTTCATCCCGAGACTTCACGTAAGCCGCTCAGCCCCACTGCACGTGATCCGTGCCAGACATTCAGCCTTCCTGTGATCCCAGCGTTTGTCCAGGGATCCGAAGCCCTGGAGGGATCCACATGGTGGCAGTGGGCCCCCGGCCTGCCCACTCCCTCTGGCCGCCAGGGGCCAGGCAGGGCTTCCCACAGTTCCAGGTCTGGCCAGGGTGGACGTCTCTGGCGTCTGGAGGATCTTTTCTTCCCCAGGGCGCCCTCCCTGGCCCTTCCCATCTTGCTGGTCTCAAGCACAGCCCGGGTCTGCCCTGGTCCAGCCTGCCCACCTGGACACAGAGCCTTTGACCCACAGTGTAGGGGTGACAGGGGAGTTGCTTTCTGCCTGGCAGTTTCCTCTTCCCTCCCTTCTGGCTCCCTGCTCTTCAAATCCTGCAGCTCCTGGCGCCCCCACCCTGTGGGTGTGGCTGCTGTCTTCCTTTTTTCCTGGCCTTCAGCAGGTGCCCACGAGGCCTCGGTTCTCAGATTGCCTCTTGAAGGAGGGTCTGAGTCTGGGGTCCGGGTGCTGCACAGCTCCGGACACTGTGTCTGACACCCGTGTGTGCCTGGCATGCAGGGGTGGGACTGGGCCAGGGAGGGCAGTGCCCAGGAGAGGAAGGGGCTACCTGAGCAGAATTGAGGAAGCCTGCAGCTTAGGCTTCCAGAGGGTCTGGGTGCTGCTTGCTCAACCTCAGCCCAGAGGAGCAGGGGAGGGCTGTGCAGCAGCAGGTCCAGCATGTACCTGGTCTTCGCTGGTCCTATGTCCTGGGCCCTCGGAGGGCTGCTGAGCTAGCTGGGCTGGCACGGACAGCTGCAACCCCTCTGGCCAGTTTTCTGGTTTAAGCAGACCCAGGCCTCCTGCCCAGGGTGGTAGCGCAGAGGTCGGGGCATTTGCCGATCTGTGGATGGCTCTCTGGCTCCTGCTGACCGAGCAGGCCAGTTCTGTGCCATTCGGGGAATGGGCAGAGCTTACCTTTCTCCTTGTTCTGGCTCTGAGTGGATGTCTAGGCTTCAGGAGGATGGCTTGCCTGTCTCCTGGAGCCTGGGAGGTCTGGTGGCCACACCCGGAGCTGGCAGGGCTGCCCGGGAGCCTGAGGGCAGACTGCCCTTGAACCAAAGCTGCACCACCAGGACTGGCAGGCTGGCATCAGCATGGCAGCCACTCATCTGCCCCACAGTGCCAGGCTTTTGCCTTCTCGCCTCCCCCTGAGGAGCTTTGAGGAGCCAGTTGCACTGTGGCCTCCCACCCAGGGTGGTGGGGACGGGGGCCTCCAAGTCAGGTGTGCTGTCCTCCAGACTGGCCTGAGGGCTCACACAGTCACATTCCTCTCCCGCAGCCCGGCCCCTGGAGGATGTCGGGAGGATGGGCTGCTGTGGACACTGGGGCAGCAGGTCCCGGCTTCCCCTTGGGGCCTGACGACCCCCAGGCAGGGGTACAGGGGCTGGGGAGGTGTTCACGCCACTTGCCAGCCTATGGGAGGCTCCTGATCGTCCACCCTGCAGGTTCGTGGCATCCTAGGAGCCCCAGCAGGAAGCAGCACATGCACCCCAGAGCCTGCCAGGCCAGGGCACGTGTTTGAGGCAAGATGTGGACCCCACCCCACCCCAGGTGACCCTCAGCCTGGTCACCTCCCTGCTTAGCAGAGCTGAGGTTGCCGAGGATCAAGGACGAGCCCCTGGAGGAGAGCAGCCCCATTTCCTCCCGCACTCTGACTCTGTCCTCCTGGTGCCCGTGGTGAATCCCTGCCCCGCTCCTCCCGCCCTGCAGCCGCTGCTCCCCTGAGACAAGGACCCTGTGCTTGGTGGTGCCACTTCTCTGAGGCCCTGACACCCGCTTATCTTTGCCAAGCAGGAGGGCACCATGGTGACCCTTGGGCAAGGGACGTGGGGCTGCACCAGGAGCCAGGCCTGCACGACCTCATCTGCAGCACTCTGGAGCCGTGGCTGGAGGAGCTGAGCTGGGCTCAGAGAGGGTCAAGCATTGTCCTCGGGCTGCACAGCAGGCCCCAGGCTGCCATCCTTGGTGTCTCTGTCTCAGGCCAGGATGGAGTTCCTCCTCTCCCTCAGCACGGGCTGTTTCAGTCGGGCTGGAGCTTGCATTGGGGCAGAGTAGGCACAGGCACTGGGCAAAGCCTGGTGGGGTTTGGGGTGCCTTGTGTGCACCCCTCCGCTGGTTCACAACTCCCGGGCTTGGGGACATGGAAGAGGCAGTGCGTGGGGCTCGGGTTTCACTCTCCAAGTCCCAGTCCTGCTCCCCTGGGAGGTGCCTGCTTGCCGCCCAAGCACCACATTGGGTCCAAGGGCACCTGGGAGCCATAGAGGTGTGGGGCTGGGGGAAGAGACCGGGTGGGAGGCACCGGCCCAGAGCTCCAGGAGCTGCCATGGCTCTATGTGCTGCCACCTCTTGTGTCCATCCCCTCATCGTCTGTCCATCACCTGTCCGTCCAAGGCTGTGGTGATTCCTCCTGTGCAGGGCCCTGGGGATCAGAGCAAAGCCTTGGGCAGCACAGGGCCTGTGTGGGGGATGCTAGGCTCGGTTCCCCCTCTGCCCCTGGCCCTCGAGCCTGGGCTGGGTTCCCTGTGGGCATCTGCACAGGTTGGGCGGGATAGGCATGTGGAGGGCTGGTGTCCACTGGCTCCCAGCAGAGGTGCTGACAGTCCTGTCCTCTGTCCCAGGCCCCATGTGTGTGCTGAGCAGCAGCTGACCCTGGTGGGGCACCGCCAACCCTGTGTGCGAGCCTTGAGCCGAGTGGTGCCCATGTGGAAGCCGGGATGCAGGCAGCAGGTGTGGTGCCTGGGCCACGAGCGCAGGTATGTGTGGGTGTGTGGGTGTGCACACTCGTGTGTGTGCGCGATGGGGCAGGGGTGCACCCCACGGAGGGTGCTGTGACACCAGGGCGGGCCGCCTGGGTGGCCCCGGGTTCAGGGTCCCTGGAAACCCCTCCCGGAGACGAGGCCTCTCCTGGCCCCACTGCATTCCAGCCTGGCTGCAAACCCAGTCCTTGTGGGGAGGGGACTGAGGCCGGGTGGGGCTGCAGGGAGGGGTGCTGGGCACACAGCAGGGGAGGTGCTCTGGCCGCAGAGTTCCCGCCGGACACTGCACCTGACCTTGGGCCGAGTTCCCAAGCCCACGTGAGACCCGTTCTTGCTCAATGTTTTATTTCAAAATTGGACTTGAGGAGTGGCCTGCATACCTCCTGCCCTCACTGACCACGCTCATGGAGAGGGCTGGTGGGTATCGGGCTTGGCGAGCCGCAGGGAGGTGCCAGCTTTGGCTGAGGTGCTGGCCTGTTACAGAGCAGAGGGGCGGAAAGCCCAGCTCGGTGCTGTGCTGCTGCTGAAGGGCCGGATGCGTCTCACTCCCTGAGCGCTGGCAATGTCTGCATGCGAATTTGTGGCTGAGTTGAGTTGGGGGCAGACATGGCCGCTGCCAGGCCTGGGCCAGTGATGCCGCTCGCAGGCTGGCATTTCCCTTCTGCCCTGCACATACGCGTGACGTTGGTGTTTACAAAGCAGGAGGGTCACCGTCTGGGAGGCCCGTGCGGCCTGGGACCCCCTTCGAGCCACTCGGTGAGGCCATCCTGCCCGGGCACCATGGAACAGTTTAGGGTCTGGGCTGGGAGCAGCTCTGACCGGGCGGCTGTAGGCTGTGGGCTGCCCCTGGCCCACCCCGACCCCACGCCGGGGAAGCTGAGTCCCTCGACACCCTGCTGCCCATGGGAGAGGACGCCTCTCGGGAAGCAGCCACGGAGGCTGCAGTGTGTATGCTGGGTTCCGGGGCTCGGGTGTGGGGCTCTGGCTCCCGAGCTGCCCGGGCCGTGCAGAGCTGGGTTTTGTCACCGACTCCATCGACTGCCTGGTGACCTCAAAGCCTCCGCCTTAAGCTGTGGACCTCCACCCTTAAAGAGGGCAGAAAGCGCCTGGCCTGGGTGTTGGCCGCCCCGGGCCTGGCTGGCGGGGCCACTGCGTGAAGGCTTGGGAGGGGCTGACAGTTTTCCTCAGCTCCCATGCGGCAGTTGTTAAGCTGTCTATTTTAGACCTGAAGAAATGAAGGCCCAGATGGTTTAGTGGCTGTGGCCACGCAGGAAGTGAGTGGCAGGGTTGAAAAGTCACCCAAGGTCTCTGACTCCATGGCCTGAACATGGATGGTGAGGCCCAGAACCGCTCAACTCCTATTGACCCTTCAAAGCCTTGCTCAGACAGCCCCCTCTGAATCGCTCCTCCCGTCTGGGAGCCTGCAGATGCCTCGTGTCCCTGCACCCCCCTGGGGTGGGGGACATTAAGGTTTGAAGGCTGCCAGGGGGACAAGGGGCAGCTGTCCAGCCCTGGGGTGGCAAGTGGTAGTCATGAGCCCACACAGGGAGGAAGGGTGTTGACCGCAGCAGCAGAGTCAGAGTCAGGAGGGTCACTGGACTTGGACTGGATTTGGCCTGAGCACGGCAGATGCTCATCTCAGCTGGGAGCTGGGTGACCGGGATGTTGCCTTCAAGTCCCCTGAGCAGGCCCATGGGTGTCGGCCTGCCTGGGAATGGCTGCCAGGCGGCTCCCTGGGGCCTCTGGGTGCCCTGCCCCTCATGGTCTGGCTTGGCTTCCGAGCTGGCTGAACTCAGGGCCTCATGTCAAGCCGCATCCCCAGTGCTTTCTGATTCTTACTTTGGGTCAGGGTCTCACTAAGCTGTCCAGGCTGGACTGGAACTCGAGATCCTCCTGCCTCAGCCTCTCAGAGTGCTGTGATTACAGGTGTGCCCCACTATGCCCAGCGTGGCCATTTCTTTGCTGAAGGGCTTTCCTGTGCAGAGGCCTCGGGCTGGCTGGGCAGTGAGGCTGAGAGGCAGCAGCTCCACTGCCGCACTGCACCCCGACTCACCCCGCTCAGGGCCGCAGACAGGGGGCGCCTCCTGAGAATATGGGGGTGGCCAGCTGGGCCGGGGGACGTGGGACGGATGCTGGGCCCAGATCGAGGCTGTGACCTGGGCTGAGCCGTGGGGGAGCGACACCTGCTGTGCCGTGGCTTCGAGGCCTCCCGAGCGGCTCAGGGCTGCCGAGCTGCCGCCGGGCCTCGCGCAGAGTATGGGTGCCGGTGAGGCTGGGAGGGGCTGCTCTGTGCCCCGGGAGCACGGTCGCCTGGGGAGGGGCACCAGCGTCTTCGACCCCCACCAGGTGCTGCGTCGTTGTCCTGCGTGTTCCCGGCCCTCAGACCTTTCCTGGTGGCTGGAGCCACCTGTGGTGTGGAGGGGAAGTGGGTCAGCCGGGAGGAGCCGCACATAGGTCATGACCCTGCAGCCGGGTCGGGGTAAATATTTACGCCGGACGGGCCACGCAGCCCAGGCTCGGCCAGGGCCTGTTCCGGCCGCTCCGGTTTCTGTCTGGGCAAGTGGTTTCATGTCCTGCCAAGGGCTCGCAGGTGCCTCCGGATGCCTTGTGCAGCATGCGCCCGAGCGCCTTCTCAGGAGGGCAGGGCGGCTGTTTGTGTGTTGGGGCCCGGCAGGGGCCAGTGGGCTTGACACACCCGCCTGGCATCCAGGGTGGCTGTCACCTGGCAATGACAAGCCCAGGCCACGCCTGCTCTCCGGGCCTCAAGGGCTCTTGATCCGGGGCTGTTGGCCGGGCCCTGGTTACCATCCCCATGACAGCGGTGGGGCTGAGAGCACCGGGGTCCCCTGTCCTCCCCTGTCCTCGCCGGGGACCTACTCTGTCATCCCCCCCGTCTGTCTCTGACACAGCGGGGCCAGGAGGTGGCCGGAGAGCTCTTTTCAGGTCAGGGGCCCGAGTCCCTGGAGACTCAGGGCCACCTGTGCTGGCTCAGCTCCTGGTGCTGCTGGCCATGGCCATTCTCATGGCCCTGGCCTTGGGGACACGTTGCCCCATCTCTGCTTCTGTCTCACAAAGGCTCCAGCTGTTGGCTTGGACCCCCAACCTAGGTGACCTCACCTAACCTCACCACATGTTAAGCCAAGACCTTGTCGCCAAATCAGGCCCTATTTTAGGGGACCTGAGTTTTGGGGACACTGCTTGACCTAATACAAGCAAGGAGGAATGAGGACGTCAGGGTGGCCGTCTGTCATGCAAGGCGTGCCGGTTGAAGGCTGGTGGGCGGGGACAGCAAGGGCAGGGTCGCCCCCAGGAAGGGAGTTTTGCAGAAGGACAAAGACCCTTCCTTGTGGGTGCTCAGGGGCATCTGGGGACAGGGAGCCCAGCCTAGCATCTAGCACCAGCCTGGCCCAGCCCCAGGGTCCTGGAAACTCCTGGGCCAGTGGTGCTGAGAGCCACTGAGGGCCAGGTGCATCCCGGCCCAGCCCGGAGCAGGGGCCACAGCAGGGAACGATGGCAGGGCTAGCATAGCCCCGCCTCAGGGAGCAGCTCAGCGGGATGGCATGGGAGCCTGGGTGCTGCTCCTGAGACGGCCCACGTTCTTCTTCCTTCCCTTCCAGAACTGTCTACTACACGAGCTACCGGCAGGTGTATGCCACAGAGGCCCATACCGTGCTCAGGTGCTGCCCAGGGTGGAGCCAGCTGCCTGGCCAGGAGGGCTGCCTGTCTGGTGAGTGCCAGGGGGCCCCTTGGAGGCCAGGGGAACAGTGCAGCCCCTCACTCGCCACAGGGCCAGGGGCAGGCCAGAGCGGCAGGGGCTGGGCTGGCACAGGCGGGAGGGACCCTGGAAGACCAGTCCGTCACCCTCCGGGCCCTGGGACTGGCGTCCAGGAGGGTACAGCCCAGGGGACTTGGGTCTGGGGTTGTCGCTCCCTGGCCAGCCGCTCTTGGGGCTGGGGGCTGTGCAGCCGGGCTGGGGGCTTCAGGCCTGCCGTGCGGGGCCAGGTGTCTGGGGGCAGGTAGGGTGGCAGGTGAGGTCAGCCTGAGGTTGTGGGGTGCCTGGGAGTCCTACGCACTCCACATCGAGGGTTCAGAGGTTAAGGGGCTCCAGGCTCCCCCAGGTCTCCTCCTGGGGACCGAGCTGCTTGTCCTCTGGTGAACTTCAGTGGGAAAAGGGGAAAAGGGAAAGGACGAGGCATTGGCTGTCCAGGAGGGAAGCGAGTCATTCTCTCCAGGAAGGTGAGAGAGAGAGAGAGAGAGAGAGAGAGAGGAGAGGAGAGGAGAGAGTTGAGGGAGAGGGACAGCAGCGCGGGGGCGGGGGGGGGTGCTGGCACACGCCCAGGCCTGCGGGTGAGGTGTCCTGGCCTGCAGGGGCCGGCGCCCTTCTCCATGGCTCCTGCTGGCACCCCCGCCTCTCTGTTCCTGATGTCTGGGAGGACAAAGGGGCCTGCGGGGGTGGGGCATCAAAGCCGGGTCCCCTGGTCCCCTGGGCTTCTGCTCCGAATCAGCAGCGGCTCTGAATCAGCAGCGGCTCTGTAACGGGATGAGACAGTCAGGCCGGAGCAGGATGTGACAGGAAGTGGGGCTGACAGCTGTACCCCAGGATTCCTGGGGGAGGCAGGGTGACCTGGGCGTGGAGCCCCGTGTCCGAGGTGGGGCCGTGTGCCAGGCCCAGCAGAGGTGTGCAGGGCAGTGTCCAGCCACAAGTATGCTCCAGACCTGGGCCAGGGCTGGCGGCAGCCAGGGTGGGGTGGATGGGCCAGCGAGTGCGGCCTCCTCCGCTATGGCAGGGAGCGTGACCCGGTGCTGATTGCGGGAATGTGAGGCCCTTACGGGGTTGAGCCACAGCGCAGCCAGACTGTGGCCCTGCTGGAGCCTGGCCGGCCTGTCCCGACAGCTCTGCTTGCCTGAGCCTGTCCCAGGTGTCACCGGCGGTGGTCGGTGGTGGCAGCGTTGTGGTGTGGGAGCCTCAGGCCCTGGGGACCCGCAGGCTCCGCCCTGGCCCAGGGAGGAGGGGAGGAGCCACCAGGGCCTGGGGTCTGGGAGGACCAGGCAGTGGAGGGGTGGGCGTCTCAGCTGGCCACGGGAGACACAGCAGGGTCCCCACCTGAGGCTTGGGCTTCCTCCGCTGTTCGTTTTTGAAAATTGATTTTTAGTGCAGGACTGACAGACCGTCACATCTCGCTTCTGTTGGTGCATGGCCCTGGCCCAGGGCTGAGATCTGGCTCCTCCGGATGCTCCTGTGTACTCCAGGGTTCCGTCCTGGTGCTCCAGGGTGGGGTGGGCGGCAGGTGGGCTGCAAGTCCGGGCCACATGCAGGATGGGAGCTTGGGCCCGTCCCTTCCCTTGGGTCTCAAGGCCCTGCTGGCAGGTTCCAAGGGGCAGATGCTTCCTTTGTTTTTCTGGTACTTGGGGCTGAGCTCAGGACCTTCACTCTTTGAAGTTGTCCAGGTTGGGCTCACATCCTAGATCTTCCTGCTTCAGCCTCCCTTAGTGCTGGGATTACAGCATGCACCACCACGACAACTTGGCTCTTTCCTTTATTTGTCGCCTCTCCCTCATTTGCTCGGGCTTTGCCAGCTGTCACTGAGGGCTGCAGATCTGGGGGGACATGGCAGGGGCAGTGTGGGCCGTGGGAGCGCCTGGTCTGCAGGAGGGGGCACGTTCCCGGTGCCCAGAGAGCGGTGAGTGCTGAGCACTGAGGGCCAGTGGGGGTGCTAGGATGGCAGGCGTCAGGGAGGTGGCCCAGCAGGGTGAGCAAGGGCACCAGGGACCCAGGACCCCTGAGGAACGGGAGTCCTGCTGTAGGCCTCTCGGGGCCTGCTTCTGAGCTCTTTGGGTCCCACGGAGGCCCTGGCAGGGAAGAACAGGGCTCGTGACCCTGGCCAGGTCCAGGCAGGGCGCGGGCGGCATCTACCCTGTCTGAGCAGCTCCGCCCCTTCCCCAGCCGGGGGTGAGTGTGGCTTGTGTCGCAGGTGTGATGGATGCCATCCTCTCCAAGTGTGGCGCAGTGCCCTCCCACGCCACGGTGACAGGGCCCCGGGTCCCCCAGAGCCTGGTGCCCCCTGGACTCTGGGCAGCTCTGGCCCCGGGGTCAGATGACAGCACACGGGGCTGCCCTGCCCGCTGTCCCCTGCGGGCCGGCGTGCGAGCTCCGCCGTGGCCCCGCCTGTGTGCAGAGAACCAGGAGAGGAGCTCGCGCCCCAGGACCCCTCTCCTCACCCCGCACCCCTCCCGTTTCCCTTCCCGCCCCTCCCCAGCCTTTGTGCAGTTTCCTCGCTTGGTGTCGGTGACCTGGGAGGACCGGGTGGAGAGGGTGGGCGTGGCCCGCCGTGTTTGCACAGGAATGAGGGAGAGAATGGCCGGAAGCCGCTAATCGGTGCTGCGGTGGTGACCGGAGGAGGTGCTGGGTCAGTGGTCAAGAGGGCCTGCGGGCGGCTCAGACGTGGGGTGCAGTGGGGCTGCCCCCGTCTACCGTTTCCAGCGAGCCCTTTCTGCTCAGGCGCTCTGAACTGCACGGTCGTCCGGCTGGGTGACAGGGTCTTCGGGGACCCTCCCCACGGCTCAGCTGTAGCCGCCCTGGGTCCTGGCAGGCTCGGCCCCCTTGTTGAAGGAAGGGGTGTGCGGAGTGGCCGGCGAGCACGCAAATCCTGGGGCTCCGCACCTAACTGTCCATGCGGCTCGTGCTCGGGCCTGGGGGGTGCAGGAGGCCCCAGATGGAGAGGTGGCCTGAAGGGGGTGTGGGAATGCGTTGGGATTCTGTGATCCGTTTGGCTCTTTGTAAGGCGGAAATACCATATGCAGATTTCGGGGCGGGGGGGTTTGCAGGACTTCTCAGGGCTTTTAATATGCCGCTGTGCACAAGGGATTCCTGAGACAGACTGCAGATGGTGCCTTTCTAACCGGAAATCCCGGAGTGTCTTCCTAGAGAAAGAAAAGGAAGCGAACAAGTCAAAGCAGTGAAACTTGAGAAGTGCAGCGTAGGCCGTCCCCTCTGCTGGCGCCGAGCTGGGGTGCCGAGCCGGGGGGGGGGGGGGGGGGCGCTGACTGCGGAGACCCGGAGGATGGGCGGCCAGCGTGGGTGGGCGGGGCAGGCCGCTCTCCTCGCTCTCCCTCCTTCCTGTCTTCCTTCCCTCCCTCCTTCTTTCTTCTTTTTACGCTACTGGTGATGGAACCCGAGGGTGGAGGCCTTCACCCGGAGCATCATTTCCAGCCCTTTTGATTGCTTCTTCTGAGTCAGGGTCTCACGTATTGTCCAGACTGAGCCCAAACTCTCCATCCTCCTGCCTCGGCCTCCCAGAGTGTTGGGATTAGAGGTGTGCATCCCTGCACCTGGGTATTATTACGCGCGTCTAATGAAGGTTGACAGGAGTTGGATTTTACCTGTCTATAGGACTCATAGGAGGGGACAGCGGCAGGAACAGCTGCGGGTTTTTTTTTCATTCTTAAAGTCTTTTATTGGTCCATTTTAGGTGAACAGTACATTTACATTTACCACTGGGTGCGTGTACCTGTACGTGATGCATCCTGGTTCTTGTTTTCCCCATTAC